CTCTCGCTTTATACCAAGCTTTTGCTCTAATACGCGAAAGCGTCACAAGATGTTTCGGAATGCTCGGCGTATTTCGCGGTACAGATATGAGCGGCACGTAAAGTTCAATTGTATGCTGAAGGATAAAAATCATCATCTCATACATATCATTGAGTGAGCCTGCTGCATGAAAGGAGCCTAGCCAGTCAATTGTTTCCAGATAGCTGATAGCTCCTGCCATGTTGGCATTTTTAAAGTCCCTTCTCAAAACGCATTTGACTTTAGTTCTACATAGGTCCTCCAAACGAAAACTTATCAAGGCATGGTCACTAGAGCCCACCGGTGGATTTACCAGGACATCCTTTATTAATTCTTCATCATTAGTTAAAATCAAGTCTAATATGCTTTTCCCCAGCGTGCAGGTGGTTACTTTTTGAACAAGGCGATGATTCAAACACATATTCATGAACAATTTAGCTGCAGGACTTGCTTTGTAGAATTGAAAAGAATTCCAATCAATTCCCGGAAGATTGAAATCACCCAACAGTACTGATGGGTAGCTGCACGCTATGAGATCTGTAATAGCTTTAATCATTTGCCTAATGTTTCGAGCTGTGCATGACGGCGCCCTATACACAAGTATCAAACGCATTTGTTGGCGACTGGTTACGATATCGGAGCAAATCAATTCATATCCATCAACGACTGATTCAGAAAAAATCAATTGTGGATATAGTTCCCTACTAATCAATACGGCCACCCCTCCTCCAATTTTAGCCTCTCGATCACACCTATATATTTCAAAAGAATTATGAAAGTTTCCCAAGATAGGCAAATCACTGATGGTACTTTTGAGCCATGTTTCAGTAAGGCAGACTATCCAGGCAGGAGAAGACCGAAGAACAAATGTGAGGGGCAGTGCATTTTTAGAAAGAGATCTTATGTTTGTTAGGAGGCACGGAATAGAACTATCTATCTTCCGAGGAAAAATCACATGTTTAAATCATAGCTACAACGCGACTGCAAATTACGTGAAGAAATGTCAATTCTATTTCTCGAATGAGGGGGAGGATTTGATGAGATATGATCATGATCAACGACAAGCGAAGAACGATTAGGCTCAGGATTGCGATCTATCTTTTTCTTCCTTTCCTCAGGGGGAAGGGAAGGTCTTATATACAAACCTTGCCTATAAGGGAAATATTTCAAACGGGAAGCACGCCTGAGCGTGAGCCTAACAAAGTAGGAGGATGGCATAAGAACTTTTAGTAGCCTATCACGATTAGCATTCGGTTTACCCATGCGGTATACCGAAATCGGGCGACAATCTATCGATAAAAATTCCAATATTTGACCCACACAGTTGAAGTCGTTGTTGATCCTTTGACTACTGTTGCCATAACGGTATTCGGGTACTCCAATAAACACGAGCGAGCGCTGCCTTTCGAGCTCTTCATATGTGGAGGCATGTGGTGGGGGGCTCGTTGAAGTCGGCGGGCTGGTGCTGGAACTATTGACAATTTTCTTCAAATCAGAATTTTCCGCTCTCAGCTTCGCCAGCTCTTCTTTCAAAAGCCTAACGTCGTCGCGCAACTCACTATTAGACTGGAGAATAGCGTCCGTTTGTTTATGACTTTCCAACAAAATTGAAATAATGGCTCGAGCGTAAACAGGCAAACCGTCATCCTTGGCCAGATCGGCCGCCGCCTGCAGTAGATCGGGTGACGCGCGTGGTGATTCGGCCAAATCCAGACGTCGCTTCTTCCAGCGATCCGCAGGAGGAACAGGATAAGAGGGCGTATCCATAAGTTTAGAAGAAAGAATAGCAGTAGCGAATATCAGCGTCGAAGGAAAAAATAGGCTGCCGAACGTCGGGTTGGGTTGGCTGAGACGAGACGGCGCAAAAAATCGACCGCTCAGGGTGAGCGAGGGTCGCAAGAATGATTATTATTCGAAATATTATTTATTCGAAATAATAATATATTTCGAATAAATTATTCGAATATGAGTATTCGGTTCCGACTATACGCCGGACTAGCGCTTATCTTTCTCACCTTAATCGTAGTATCTCCATAACTGAAAAAATTCGATTACCCTCCCCTTGCAGTATAATACGACCCCCCAGATCAGGCACGCCTGACTCCACGCTCAACCCTGGTCATCATGCCTTCCTTTTTTTGAAAATTCTGGAAACATCAGGCCGCTTGGGGACGCCGCCTCCGCGGTTTTCCCAGTGTGAGCTCAAAGTTCAAATAGCTTTTAGAAGCCTGTTTTCAGTTTTCAGTGTACAAACTACAAACTTGAGTCGTACTTCACTGAAACATCACAATCTTTCCATATGTGCGAAGGGTACATGAAGTATGCTTACCGTCCACCTAGATTCATTCTTTTCAATGTATATAATACAATTGTTCATCAATCCGACTCAAAAAACTTGAAAGTCAGGTTTTCCTACACCTCAGTAGTCATTTCTTCAGCGTTTCATGTCCACTTCTTTCTTCGTATGAAATATTTTCAAGATCTTCCTTCCTCTTCCGCTCTGTTCGTGCCCTTTTTAATAGGTTCAGCCATCTTCCACTAAAAACTTAACACCATTGTGAGGTCTTATATGATTTGCAGGGTATCCTCAGGGATCGCTCCTTCTCTTGAGATCTTTTTCTATTGGTGTTGGTGTTATATGTGGTGTTGACGAAATTTCAGGGTGTATGCCAAGATGAACGATAGCTGGAAATATGCATACTGTGATCGTGCGGTTGTCAATATGCCGCACATAGAATCCGAATTTTTTGAAGCGATATGTTCTTCACTGAATTGAAAATGGTGTCGAACCGTAAGAATTAGAGCACACCGAGCACCCAGCGTTTTTTCCAGATTTGTAACAGTCAACGTAGAAAATTTAGAATTTGAAAAATATTTGACCTACGCAACGCATACGGCTAGCGCAAGCTATCGTACATGTTGGTTGTGAGATGTGAGTTGAGCGAGCATAGTGCGATCTCTCACTTTGGAATGGGTGTCGCTTAGTGAAAAAGGAAAACAGAAGAAAAAAACAGCTTACATGAACATTAAACTGTTGCTAAATATCACTAGAACTTTTTGACGAAGGATATATGAATGAACGAACAGTACTTAAATGGTTTTTCTGCCTACGTATGAGAGTATCTAGACACTGGAAGTGACTGACAAGCGAGCTGTGAGCTGTGAACTAAGCATTGACGTGATACTTTGTTGTGTTTTATGCTCTTGTGGGCGCAAAGACCGCTGTCAAACCCGTCGTCACGATTTTAAAAATGACCTATACGCAGATATGAGCCTTCATCTCTTCTCATCTATTTTGAGACTAGGACGGTTTTGCTTTACGGATTCAATCTTATTTGTTTTTCCCTTCCATCTAAATCATTGTAATTTGAATGAAATGATGGTCAAGTTTTATGATGGACTAGCTGGCTTACCCGGCTCCGCCGTATCCGGACCAAACTTGGCACACATACACTTCGGGCCCTGGCGGATGTCACAGTCCACTTTTCGTTATCGATCGATGTCCATTTTACCGATTTTTATCGATTTTTTTGCAGAGTTCACCTACAGGGCTAGGAGTTGGCACAGGGGGGAAGTGAGCATGGGGATTCCGAATACAATATTAGTTTTCAGAATTATCGATTACTTTTATTGATTTTATCGATTTTTTGTAAATTTTGACATGCGAGGCTGGGATTTTGCACAGGGGGGTAATCGAGCATGCTGATTACGAACACAATATTAGTTTTCAGGATCGTCCATTACTTTTATCGATTTTATCGATTTTTTTGTAAAGTTTGACCTGTGGGGCTGGGATTTTGCACAGGGGGGTAATCGAGCATGCTGATTACGAACACAATATTAGTTTTCAGGATCGTCCATTACTTTTATCGATTTTATCGATTTTTTGTAAAGTTTGACCTGTGGGGCTGGGAGTTTGCACAGGGGGTAATCGAGCATGCAGATTACGAATACAATATTAGTTTTCAAGATCGTCCATTACTTTTATCGATTTTACCGATTTTTTGAAAATTTGAGCTAGGGGACTGGAATTTGGCACAGGGGTGTAATCGAGCATGCTGATCACTCCCCTTGGGGGTGATCAGCATGCTCGATTACCCCCTGTGCCAACTCCCAGCCCCGTAGCTCAAACTTTGCAAAAAAATCGATAAAATCGATAAAAGTAATCGATAATCCCGAAAACCATTATTGTCGGAATCCCCATGCTCGATTACCCCCCTGTGCGAACTCCCAGCCCCGTAGCTCAAACTTTGCAAAAAATCGATAAAATCGATAAAAGTAATCGATAATCCTGAAAACCAATATCGTATTCGGAATCCCCATGCTCGATTACCCCCCTGTGCCAACTCCCAGCCCCGTAGCTCAAACTTTGCAAAAAAATCGATAAAATCGATAAAAGTAATCGATAATCCTGAAAACCAATATTGTATTCGGAATCCCCATGCTCGATTACCCCCCTGTGCCAACTCCCAGCCCCGTAGCTCAAACTTTGCAAAAAAATCGATAAAATCGATAAAAGTAATCGATAATCCTGAAAACCAATATTGTATTCGGAATCCCCATGCTCGATTACCCCCCTATGCCAACTCCCAGCCCCGTAGGTGAACTCAGCAAAAAAATCGATAAAAATCGATAAAATCGATATCGATCGATGACGAAAAGTAGCCTATGACACCCGCCGGGGCCCGAAGTGTACGTGTGCCAAGTTTGGTCCGGATCGGTTCAGAAATAAAAATTTCTATTCGGAACATACGTACATACATACAGACATACAGACATACATACAGACATACATACAGACAAACAGACATTCAGCTTTATATATAAGATATATGTATGGCACAACGTTTTCAAGTTTCCGTGTCTCAAACGTGATAGGTGAGGGATTCTTCCACTAAAGTCAGGAATTTTTATGCATAATCTTTCCATCGTTGGTCTGACTTGCGTTATAGCCACCGCTAGTTCTCAATATTGATGAATTTTTGAGGCTATGCACCTAAGAGATGACGATGACGCTCAGTGCCACATCGACGACAACCGCCATCACACGCTCCATGCAAGAAACGATTCTACAAAAAGGTTTACGCCAGGTGTAGTTTGCTTGCAATGTTTTAGGCTATATGATGTTTTTGAAGTAGATTAGTAGATTGGTAACATACCGCCAATAGGCTCTTCTTCCGCGGTCTACTTGTCCTTTCCGCACATTCCGTAACATATTGCACGAGAACCAGTGGTTCGCGAAGGAGGAGCCTGTACAAAGTGGGGCATAATCAGGGTCAAGCGTGGGGTGCGGTACGCCACACCTGCGGGGTCGTATTGAGGAGTCAAAATGGGAGGGGGTCGTAGTTGGATGATCTGATAATAGTGATAACATGATATTCATATCATAGCCATAATTAGCATGTCAATTAACCCCTGTAGAGAAGTTTGAGCGAATTCTGAAGATTCAAGATACTAGGCTACCTAACATATATAAGTGAAATGGTCATATTCCAACATGGTTAACTTTGTTTCAAAGGTGAATTAGCTATCCGTTTTTGCACTCAAGACAAAGCACTACTCCTTCTTTGTCCACCTCGGGAATCCCGCTTCAGAAGACCTGCAAACTGTGGAATTAGAAGCCAACCAAAATCTCGTTTTTCCCATTTTTCGCTTTTGATCGCTGTGCTTTCACCAAATATTACTTAGAGCTAAGATGACAAACCAGGCTCCAAACAGTCCTATGGAATCTACAAGGTTTAGGCTATCGATTCATGTAAATACTGTCCGCTAAAAATGTTTTTTTGATATAGTTAATGGGGTGCGGCACAACCCCTTGAAGCTGCGGCTGCCGCAGCTTTTAAGGGGGTGTGCCGCACCCCCTTAACTTGTCTTCAAAATCCAGAAAGCGCTCCATTGCTGGTATGAGTATTGAGCACATAATTTCCAATGTAGCTTCTTCTTGCTTCATTGGAAATTTGGAGCCGAACGCCCCACCCATAAGAGAATTATAGCCCTTTCAATATGCCCATTCAGATCAAAATCAGCCGTCAATTTACGTGTGATTGTAAAGTGCAGTCACAGAAAATCGGGCGTACAGCTCTTAGAAATCCGAAAACTCTCTAGAAAAAGATGGTGTCCTCCAGAATGTCACACTTGGAGGTCCAGAGGTTAAGAGGAGGAAGAAGCGGTCGTTTGAGGGCTTTCATGGGAGGGGGGGGGGTTGTTTTCGAAAGACTTGTGCCTGACCTCTTTCTCAACTCTGGTAATGCTAACTTAGATATATAGTTCAGGGGGGGGGGTCTTATTAAGACAGCAATCAGGGGTCGTAACCAGCGATCGTGTGCCACACCCCTTGCTTGACCCTGGGCATAATCATACTCTGTCCGCATGCGCGGGCTCAATTCGCTTGCGACGTGCTTGTTGCGGCAATCGCGCTCACCGCTCTATCTGTGTCCACCCTGTCCGATCCGATCCGGATGCACGGGAGACCACGTTACCACCAACGACGGTGTTGCCGGTTATTGATCCGGGTCGCGGGTCCTCGCGGCTTTTCGCTTTGAGTCTGCAGCGGACCTTTTAAGTCTAGCTTAAAGGCAGTGTCTTACCAAAATTTAGTTGCCGAGATTTTTGCATTTTGCAAGCCTGCGCGACCCTGTCTAGCACTATATGGGCTTAGAATCGCATGTTCCAAAAACCCCGTTTTCTGGAGGCCCGCGGAAGCAACGTGGACGAGTTGTACCTTCCAACTTCAGCCTTAGCCACAGTGGCAGCAACAGAGGGGAGGTGGATGCCAAGTGGAGGGACATGTTCAAACGCGTAAGGGGGGGGGGGGAGACCGAAGGAGTCGTCCGCGCGTACCAAATCGCTGTCCGCGTACCACTTTTAGCGAATTTTTCTCAGCGTGGAGGGGGTCAAATTGAGTGGGACTTGTTGCAGTGGCCTATTTGGAGGTCCTTGTAATAGATTATGTGAAGATCTGCGCGACCTCAACTTTGGTGAGACACTGCCTTTAATGCTTGGACGACGTGCAGACGCAGCGCGAGGTAAGGTGGCCGCGCGGATGTAATTTTCGTGACCCTTCATTACCATTGTCCGTCTAGAGGGAGCTCATGTAATTTACAAGGAACGAACCAAATTTCAATTTTTTTCATGCTTTCGTCAGTTGGTGGCAAGCGATAAATACGCGCCTTTCGACCGTCTCTCAGGGTTCCGGGGCACGCGCCATTCTTGATCCGCTTCATCCACTTCGCCAATGGTCATTTTACTGATTTGACCAAGTGCGAATTGGATGAAGCGGATCAAGCGTATCAAGTGTGGCACTTGCCCGACAGGATAGTCGCGCGCGTTAGGCTTGCGTTTGCTACTTCTGTGAACATCGTAGGTCTGGGTACAGGACATTGAGTTGCCGAAAGGGGCGCTACCACGGGAACATTTGCAACAAACTGCGATCCTTCACCATTTGCCTCATACTATCTGTCCGCATAGGTGGAGCCTAATGGCGACCTAATGTCCTCTACCCCATAGGTGTGGTGCAGGGCTCAGCACAGCTGGCACCGGGTCAAGCTGGATATCGCTTTTAGGGCGGAAAGCAAAGGGGATATCGTTTCTACAGAGCCGAGGCGTAGAACTGCCGCAAAAATGCCGCCGGCATGCCACCGGCATGCCATTGGCTAGCTGTCCATCAACAAACAAAGGCGTTGTTTTCAGCCAAATCGCAATAGTATGACACCAAATTTGGTGTGTGCATGCGCGTTGGTGGACCGGAACTACGGGCCAAGAATTTATGAAAACTTATGTGAATGAAAGCTGTGCCGAACTTTTTTCTGAATTAGCTGGCACCGTGCCAGCTGAGTGCCAGCTGAGCTGGCACCGACGCTTTGCTCACATAAGTTTTCACACTTTTTCAAATAAAATGTACCTACACTGTAAAAGATTACATACGGAGAATAAACAGTTTCATAATGTTCTCTTTTCAGCGTTTTATAGCAATTTGAAAACCACTCGGTCCGCTCCGCAGTCGAAAAATCGGCTTTTTCTGCTTCTCAAGATGTGATTCGACCACTTAAAAAGCTCAGAAAGCTGTGAAAAGTTCTTTCATGAAATCAGAATTGCATGAAAACACTACTCCTTTTTTACATGATATAAAAATGATGACGGGTTCTCAAAACAGGTCAAAAGGGACTTCGTACGAGATTTTCAATATCAAACGGGACTTCGTTTTGAAATTTCGCTGGTGCCAGTTCGTGCCGAGTCCTGGTGTGGTGCGAAAGCTGAAAACTTCAAACTTCGCTAATTACTCTCCGTCTCCAGCGTTCCCGCAACAAAGTCAGGAAATTTTAATCTTGGCGTATCGGTTTTGACAAGATGTAACATGGCGCTGGTGTGGGGTAGAGGACAACTAGGTCGCCATCAGGCTCCACCCACTTGGATGCACTCGGTATTACCCGGAGGTAGGTGACACTTGGAGCAGCGCGTCCGCCTTTCCAAAGACTTTGCGAGCGCAAGAGCTGGCATCTCGCCAGGCAAAGACTGAGGAGAAAGAAGAGACGCAGACATGGTTCTTAACGCGATATGATATACTGTAGCTGCGGAACGGCGCGAACCGTTGCGAAACAGACGCCCGCCAATCGACCGCACTTTTGGCGACCCAATGTCCTCTACCCCTGGTGTGTGCGGAATATCAGACTGCTTACAAGTATCTCAGTAACGGTCTCACAACTCCAACAGCCCGCAGCCGCTTCACTTGGATTCTAGTCGCGATCGAAAACGATCTTCTGTCGTTCTCTCGGCTTTGAATCGCTGCTCAGGCATGGAGAATATCTGAAAAATAACGTCCGTGAACTCAGCGCAAAGCCCGAGCGAAGCGCCCGCAACGTCTCGAGCTCTGGAGCTGTGACAATGTCATAGAGGCTAGTTTGCACGTATTGTTGCCTTCCGCGTGCGCACCAGCGTTCGGGTTTGTCCGAGGCTGCAGGCTGCAGCTGGCGGCTGCCATGATGTAAATGCTGGCTAACTGTGCGTAAGAATGACTAAAGGACGCTCTACCGCTAAAAGGCAGTGGCTCTGCAAAACTGAACATTTTGAAATCCTAGTAGGTTGCTACTGGTTTTTGCATGCTTAGGTGCGTTGGCTATTTTCTTCTCATCGTTGGGTTGGTTCATAGTGCAGTCACTGCAGCAACTGCAGATACATATTGGGGCGGGCAATGGATATCGACCGATCGACTGCCGTCGCTGCAGTGACTGCAGTGTAAAACAACTTGTTGGAGGCGCGTGCCGCAGGGTCATAACTGTAAGGGTCCCGCAACAACTTCGCATCTTCAGCCTTGGCGGGAACTGTTCCACTCTTTCTAATTCATAATTAGTCTCGAAAATTGCTGTTTTTTTTTGTCATTTCCAATCTTTAAAGTGGACCGCACAACATGTAGGATAATTTCAGCTAGAGGTTTTTTACAAAGGTTTTGCCGAGTCATGGCTTCAACACTAGGCTATAAACACACGGTCCTTCCCTTAGGCGTACCATACTGGGACCCTTTCCCTTATTTTTCGGACGGGCAATATATTTGATTTTTCTGAAACTCAAGCTGTTTGACATATCAAGATCTGCCCGCACTTAGGGAACTATGTAAAATAATCCACCTTTGTCAGAAATCAATTTGCATTTGGGTTTGTATGTGTGAGAGCGTAGATTATCAGCCTTACTTAACACGTTGACGACCTTGTGTATCCGCACGTATGCACGCCCTGACTCCCGTTGAGCATTTTCGTGCATCCGCGCATATGCACGCTAGTTTTTTAGGTGCAAACGAAAAGTTTTAAGGTAACTTCTATGCAGTAATACTATTAGTGGCCTGATTGTCTTACAGAACACAGGGCATCGCGGCAGCTGTTCAGAAGTTTTGGACGCAAAATTGAGTAATCAGTACGTTTTTGATGTAATCAATACATGCTAATTACGTTTTCTCGAGAAGGTGAAAACTCTGTATAGCTGTTTTGAAATCAAACAAAGATGTATCAGGCAAAAAACATATGGTTTTACAACGCTTTTCTCGAAGAGCGATTCCTTAGATATAGCCATTACATGGATTATTGGAGGGAAAATCGATGCAAAAACATTGATTTGTGTAAGTCCTGGTAAGGCTCTGTGATATACCTGTATGTCTGAATAAAGTTCGCATTTTTTACTAATAAGTGACAAAAAGACTCCCACATAATGTTTTCATGCATCCGCGCGTATGCACGGGCCAAATGCGCTAAGGACGTTAGTGGGAGTTTCGCCCAAAATGGCGCGGTCGTCAACGTGTTAAATGTTGATATGTATCACACAGCAGTCACCATCTGAGTTTAGGAGATCCCTGCGTCGTTTGTGGTGACGCCGCCTCTGGAATCCATTACGCTGTTGCAGCCTGTAACGGATGTAAGACTTTTTTCAGAAGAGTAGTTCTTGAGGTGGCTTTTCATATTTTGTAAAGCAAGGACTTTTTGAAGCAAATCTCTTACAGAATCGAACTTATTCATGCAAAAATAACGGAGATTGCATCATAGACAAGAATATGCGCTGCTCTTGCAGGCACTGTCGATTCAAAAAGTGCATTCGCGTCGGAATGGATAGAAGTGGTAGGTCTCCTAGCAATATTCAATTGGCGCTATCCTTAATGACATAATTCAAATTGAAAATTTCTAACAAAAATGAATCGCTAAAATTTGCACATGGTGGTTATTTGGCCGCTGATCATGAAAATGATACTCATTCTGCGTGCCAAGACCTTTTTTGGGGTGGCGGCAGGTGTACAACAGAGGGGTCAGATACGACTTTGTTGAAATACCTGTTTTAGGAGGGGGGGGGGGGGGTGTTTGACATGCTGATCATAAAGCATCAATTTGAACGTCTCACTGTATAGTCACGTGAGCTTACGATAGGGTGTCATTCTGTCCTCTACTCTATATCACGCCCTGCGTCCATTTAGAGGAGGTAAGACAGGTTTACATTAGACAGACAAAGCAATGACTCTACCTGAAATTTAGTGGTGGTTTATCTGACCTGCTTATCACGAATATCGGGCTCAATTCGCATGGTAGGACCTTTCCTGAATTTTTATAGTCTTTGTTCTGAAAAGTAGGAAGCTGTTAATTTTGCGCTCTCACCACAACACCATTAATGAGGTGTGGTGCAATGAGCATGATATTTGTAATCAGCATGCTTGCTAACTCTCTAGGAAAAGGTTTGCGCAATTTTTGGATTTTGTTCATCTAATGTATGCCTATCGTAAGCCGAGCAGAAGGTGCTACTGTGCGAAATCAATGCGCAATGCATGTTCAGCTTGCGGCTTACGTAATAATCTTCCTAGGCGGAATGCAAGGACTGTGATTTTGATTTTCTACCGTACGCATAGTTGACCACACAGGGAGAGTCTTACCATACGGGAAAGTTTGATATTCGTGATCAGCATGCCTAACTCCTTAGACTTGTTATTAACCGACTCCATGTTCTGACACCGCCCCTCCCCCACCCCTTTCCCCTCCCCCACTGTACACCTGCCGTAACCCCACGGGAAAGGTCCTTCCATACAAGATGAGTATCGTTTTCGTGATCAGCGTCATAGGTGCGACAGTGACAATGACTCCTCCAGGGTGGGGTCACAGTGGTCGCAACTTTTTCAGGGTGAAGGGTGTTTCACTTGATCGAGAAGTTATGATATTTCGACTGGGGGGTGGTGGAGAATGATGGTGTATGCTCATCATTTTTCTAACTAAAGTTTATCATTTTCAATTTTCTGCCATCATTGGTTGTCTTTCTTCTAAATTGTGAAAACAGAAGTAGGATTGAACCACCGTGTCTGTTTTTGAAATTATCATAGAAAAGTGCATGCGAGAACATCTGTTTCGAAAAAGAGGTAGCAATTTTTTCAGCATTTACGATTTTTTAGAAGATAAAAACTTCATAACTTTTGTAGATGAACAGCAGCGTCAGCAAGGAAATTGGTTTCAGAACCATCTTTTTTTTCGCTTGCAGGAAATATATAGTTTGTCCGAGGTCCTCACAAAAAAGTGCCTGGTGAAGGGCGTGGATAGTGAACAAAACAAAAATCCATAACTTCTGTAGATGAACATTCTGTACGCCGAAACATTATCAAACCGTTTTATCCTCTGCTTTCAGAGAGTATGTAAATTGCCTGGAGTCCGTTGAAAAAAGTACCTGGTGAAGGGTGTGTGGGTAGTGATCTCCTAATATTTACGAGCTTCTAGGCTAAAAAAATTCATAGCCTCTGTAAATGAACATCTTGTACGCCGAAATGGTCACCCTCGGAACCACGTCGTCAGCCGCTTTCAGAAAATATATTTGCCCGTGCTACGTTGGAAAAAGTGCTTGGTGAAGGGTGGGTGAGACTCTTATAATGGGAGTTCTCAAGCAGACGTCTTCTTGCAATGGTAAAAAAGCTTCCACTGAGAACTCCCATTATAAGAGTCTCACCCACCCTTCACCAGGCACTTTTTTTTCAAACAGTGGATACATTTTTTTGGGACAACTGTATTAGGTATATATATTATATTAGGTATCAGGTTATATACAGAGTGTCCCAAAAGTAAGTACACACTTTTCAATCTGTAATATCTCTCTTCCCATTGTGTCTTTTTCCGCCATTTAAATACTATTCTGTAGAGGAGGCTTCAACTTAGATTTGCAGTGTCGAGCGAATCACCAACCTCTCTTCATTACTGTAGGATTACTGTAGGAACTTCGACAAAGATTTTAGACCATTGAAAGCCATGTTCTGCCTCGGAACAAAACCAAACAAGCCAAAAACTCTCATATTATGGTAATGGAAGCCGCTGATTTCGAATATGAGATTTTCACTTTGCCTTGATGCTCCTTTCCAAAGTTATCCCAGATGAAGCGTAATAACCGAATCCTCAGAATTTGTCAGGAATGTAATTACACCGTCAGAAAGGCTGGAAACGTAAAAAGTTGTGTAGTGGAATCAGCGTGCGTGAAAACATTAGTTAAAGATTTTTCAGATTTTTTGTAAAAAAATTTGTCAGACGGCATATTTCACAATGGTTCCACATGCTGGAAGTTCTCACCGTAATCCTACAGTAATGACGAGAGGTCGGTAATTCGATCGATACTACAAATCTAAGTTGAAGCCTCCTCTACAGAATGATGCTTGAATGGAGGAAAAATACGCATTGGGAAGAGAGATACTGACGATTGAAAAGTGTGTACTTACTTTTGGGACACCCTGTATATATATTAGGTATATATAGGGTATCTTATATATAAAGCTGAATGTCTGTCTGTATGTCTGTCTGTCTGTATGTCTGTCTGTCTGAAAGCTGAATGTCTGTCTGTATGTCTGTATGTCTGTACGTATGTGCGGAATAGAAATTTTGATTTCTGAACCGATCGGGACCAAACTTGGCACACATACGCTACGGGCCCCGGCGGGTGTCATAGGCTACTTTTCGTCGTCGATCGATATCGATTTTATCGATTTTTTGCAAAGTTTGAGCTACGGGGCTGGGAGTTGGCACAGGGGGGGGGTAATCGAGCATGCTGATCATCCCCAAGAGGGTGATCAGCATGCTCGATTACACCCCTGTGCCAAATTCCAGCCCCCTAGCTCAAATTTTCAAAAAATCGATAAAATCGATAAAAGTAATGCACGGTTTTAAAAACTAATGTTGTATTCGTAATCAGCATGCTCGATTACCCCCCTGTGCCAACTCCCAGCCCCGTAGCTCAAACTTTGCAAAAAATCGATAAAATCGACATCAATCGATAACGAAAAGTGGATTGTGACACCCGCCGGGGCCCGAAGTGTATGTGTGCCAAGTTTGGTTCGGATCGGTTAAGAAATGGAATTTTCTATTCGGAACATACGGCGGAGCCGGGTATGCCAGCTAGTTGTTCTGTAAGATGGAATTTTACCATATGTTGATCAGAAATATGCTGTCGATTGTAGTATATAGCAGACTTTCTCCAAGATTACGATGTAGTATGCGCATAGTTTGCTAAAAGGGCATTAGGCGGGTTTTGTCAACAGCCTGAGAAGCACGGACTTCCTGCCCACATGGCATATCTATTTTAGAACTCAATGTTGAACGACGGCGAAAAAGAAAAGCTCGACGAGATGCAGAACATGATGACGACATCAACGAGGTAGAAATTACAGATCCCCTCATAGAACTCCTTATCGACAAAGAAGCCAAGTAAGTGTTGTGACTGTCTTGCAACTCACAATTCAATCTCTATAGGTATCAAATACTGCTGTCATCTACTGTCATGCCGATACACAACTCTGTGCGCGAGGCGTTAGATAGTGGCTACAAAGCTTTTGATGATGTTGAAAAGGTTTATTTCATTGCAGTAACATTACTATGCTTCTTCTGTTCATGATCTGTATTGCTGATTGTAGTACGCAGCCAATCCAATGCCTGTTGGAATGTCTACTAATTTCTCTTACTGGCGTGCTAAAATTCTATCGGTGATTGTTGAGTGGGCCAAATCTTTCGAGGTATGTTATCACTCTGGTGCATGACTGCTCCTTTTCGTATTTTTTCTTCAGATGTTCAGCAGGTTGACCCTTGATGACCAAATGAGGCTTATTGTACACTCATCGTTTTCGAATCTTGTACTAGCGGAAGCATTCAACACTCCGGAAAAATATACAGATAGAATTGTCTTTCCAGATGGTTTGAGTGGGTAAGTGATCTTTACCTTATGAAAAGACTTTGACTACTCCCTTCAGCAAGTTCATGTTCACGATTATATAGTCTTCTAAGCATTTTTTAAGGTTTCGAAGCCCATCTGCGAATACGTTGAAGGAAAGAAGTGGATTGATACCAACAGTAGTCGCGGTTATAAACAACATTCTAGTTCCAATCAGACGAATGAAAATGACAAAAATTGAATATTTACTTCTCCAAGCAATATTGTTTTACGATCCAGGTGAGGAAATTTACGCTGCTTATCTACCATAGTCTTTCGTTCGTTAGATCAGCTTCGCTTTCAGAATGTTTATCGTTATCGGAAGCAGCACAACAGCTCATCGCTGCCAAAAGGCGACGTTTGTTAGATTCTTTGCGCCGCCATCTTGACGCTAAGTTGAAGGATCCTACCGAAGGGGCTGCGCGCTTTGCCGAGATCCTCCTGCGTATAGGGAACGTCCAGGTTGGGTTGTCCTTCTATTGCTTGAGGGATAGGCAGATAGCTTGGGTGACTTGATGATGAGCAGTCTGATTGTTTTGGTGTCTTTAAAATGATATTGGCTATCATATTATGTATAATTACAATGTTGCAGAAAGTAGCCGCATTCAAGAGGGAGACATTGTGTACGATCGAGACTTTCAACCTGATGCAGCCACATCCTTTTACTATGGAGATTTCAAAGAAATATCCGGATGTTTCATTTTTCTAGCTTCTGAATGAAAATGTCGTCCTCTCGCTTGCCATAGATAAGCGAATTCATAGAAAGTTACTCTATGGCAAGCGAGAAAACGATATTCATGAACGTCATAAAACATCTTCTGACAAGTTCCTTGTATATTTCTCATTCTTTCCTAGATTTTAACCCTTTTAAGTTGGTTGTTGGTTATCTTTTACGCATTCATAGCGCTTATATTCAGTTGTTCATATTGGGATTTGCTTTTTGATGCACCTCATTTTCATTCTGTGATAGCTGATAGGTAAGAGATTTATGATGAGCAGTTTATCGTACATCTCTGTATTCTATCTCTTTGTAAGTATGCGAGTGCATTCATACCGCGCCGGCAGCTACAGTTTGACCCAATCCTAACCGGGCCAAAATTGGCATGGCGGGAGTCCGCGTCGCGAGGGTTTCGCGCCACTTCTGCGGTTAGCTTTTCTGCTCTCTCCTCAATCTCTTCGCTCTTTGCGATAGCGCGCGTGTGCAGCGCAAACCCCTAGCGTTGCGAGCGCGCAATTTCAGCCGATGGTTCGGCCTGATCCCGTTTGGGGCAGACTATATATAAGTCGCCCATAATAGCCGCTATCAGCCGCCGGTAGCCGCTTTTCTTCTCATAAGAGCGCGAAAACATCCAGGGGTGGTAGTACCATTACCATTGCCCTAACTAAGTCGGTTACATGAGGCAGCCAGCGGCTTCACATCATCTTCTCAGCGCACTTACGAGGTGATCTGGATAGCAATGAAGATGGATGGATTTCACTCGAATGTGAATCTTGCAAAGCAACATTTTGAGGAGCTGAACCTCCAATCAATCACTCTCATGTTTGACCGCCTTCATTGCAATCTATCAAATCATTTCTGACTGGGTCTTTCATTTTTTTTTGTAGAGCTTAACTAAATTGCTGCTAAGCTTCTCTGTATCAACTTTCGTAATGACCATCACTTCACTTGTGGAACCGTCACATCATTTCAAAACTTGTTGTTGTATTTTGCTAAAGGATATTCGTCGACGACTGCCCCGACTCGTGCAGTTACACCACCTTGAGCGTGCCTTGTTGGGGCCTTTCCAGTTGGACAGTACGCTGCAGCGCGCGGGGACTTGGTAGCTCGCAGCATCCCTCCTTTTCCTGTTTTTCCTGTCCTACTGTTAAGCTGGAAAGGCTCCAAAAAAGCTGTATTGCACTAGTTGGGGCAGTCGTCGACGAATATCCTTTATGGTCGTCCTCCAGTCGCTCCTAGCCCCCCGTGGGAGAACTCTAACCGGAGCAGGCCGGTCGCAGCAGAGCACCACACCTCAGCCCTCAATGCGAATTTGCTCATGTTTCTTTGTCGTTTTTCTATGTCTGTTTGCTAATCTTTGTGATATAAGTGCTCTCGTCGTCAAAGTTGAACACTTTGATTTGTCGAGTGGTAGACGACTATATATCGCCGAATGTAGGAGTGTCCGCTGAGCAAAAACACACTTTCACGCATGAGAGAGGGTGCGTATCCGCTGCAGATGACCGCGGGGCTGCCCCATCTCGGCAGTAATAGTACTCTACCCATTGTCGAGCGTTGTTTCATGCGGCTATACTCATTACTATGACTCTGAGTAGGGTCAATTGGGGAGACGATGCAGACGCGAAACCTTCGCTGTAAATCCTTTCTTCGTAAGCAACATATGCAGAAGTGTTGTTCTAGTGAGTATACTAGTGAACCCGTGATTAAAGGTCCTAGACTGCATCCGTGCGCTTCGGTACCGCACCGCGGTTTCCCGCTATGTGATGTTTTTTGAATTGGCACTACGATTCTTTATATATTAGATAGATTCCACAAATTCGCCATCTTTGTTTTGAAAGCCCGCTCAACAAAAGACGAGCATAGGAGCGGGAAACGACGCTCTGGTTACAAATACCAAACTTCAATTCTGATTAAGAACTATGCTATATTACATATATAGTAAGCTTCAACTCAGTTTAGGCGGAAATTAGACTGGCGGAAGTCCGCTTTGCAACGATTCGCACCGCTTTGTAGTCTGCTCTTCATTCTAATCTATCTCGCTGAGCGGACGGGTGCGGACGCGCTACTCCACTTGGGATGTTTCGCTTACTCCGGTTGAAAAAGACTGTAAATTAGCAGGCAAGGGCGAAAGAACGGAAAAGGAACGCATGGATATCAACTGAGAGCTGGTATGTCGTGCTTTCCCGCGATCGGTTTGCTCCAGTTCTAATTCGAATTCGCCCATCGACCGACTAGGGCGACGACTATAGATTGCTATAGATGTTTCTCTATGTTCCTCTTGCCCACCACCGGGCGGCTAGTGGCGCGATATGATGCACTCTTTGCTCTCGAACTCAACAGATCTCCGATTTTTTATGCGTGATAATTTGTTTATTCTGAGACTTCAGCTTCTTTGCGCAAGTTTTCCTAGATTAAACTCACTGACATCTTACCTCAGATAGTTGTCAGACGATGCGACATAGTTATCACTGATTGTCATTGCACTGTGTCAGTTTTCCTTTTTCTCAAATAAACCTCGCATAAACCTATGGCAATCGTATTGCATGCAATCGTACTAGATCATATATCTCCCCAGATAGATTTACTCGATCTCAATCCATATGTCCTCCTTCTCTCAATGGTACGGTACGCTCGCGAATGCTGCATGTTGCTTAAGCGTTGCACTTGGACTGATTGAAAAGAGAGCACATCTTACACACACAGATGACCGCGGAACTTTAGACCATCTTCGCCTTCTCATCGTTACTGTTATCGCTTCTTTGCGGATTTGACCTCGCTCGGAATTGGTATAGGAGATTAACGAGGCGGCTAATTGCAAATCAAAATAACCTTCGTCGATATTTATGAACTCCATGGGGGGGGGGAGAGTAAGTGCTATGCTAATCACGAGACAACAGTTATGAGCATTGAATGTGTCATCGTTGCAGTTTTAGGGAACGGCCATAGGTTGTCGGTGTTGTCGATGTTGTCGGTGTTGTCGATGTTGTCGGAGTTGTCGGTGTTGCCGGGGTCGAAGACAGTTTAGAGAGCGCGCGAAACGCCGACAACTCCGACAACACCGACAACATCGACAACCTATGGCCGTTCCCTTATTTTTGAGAAGGCGGGACGTAACACATAATTCCAGGGTGACACACGGTATAGGTAAAGGCCATTTTCTTGCGTATGAGAGGCGTGGCCTCATACATTGAACAGGTTGAAAAACTTGTTGAACCTCCATTTCAGAGCGTTAGGCTATAGAAGAATATAGCTATAGCTATCGTTCATTCGTTGACCGTACGGACTGCCGACCGCGTGGCGACTGCGACGCGTGCCTTCTAAACTTGCGAAAAAGTGACAAGGTTGGACCGTGGCTTAAGATGAGAAGAATTCTTTGTTTCTTTTCTACTTTATAAAGATGAGAAGAATCCTCTGTTTTCTTTCTATTCATCTTTTCTACGAAAACATCATGCACGCGCAGCGGTCGCCGCGCGGTCAGCAGTCGTTACGGTCAACGAATAAACGATTCTCTATAGCTATCAAGAACTGCCACGCGCATAGGCCTAAGGCATACCTCACGCGATTCGGCCGAATCGCCACTTTCACACGACTTGGCAATTTGCCAGATTTCTATGAATTTATCATGCGTACTTCTCGGACGCATATTTGGGTAGCTTGTGTAAGTTTATTTATTTATTTATTTATTCATACGCTCTATGGCGTTCCTTACAAAAAGAACAAGAGAAAAAAAATACACACACAGTAAATCGAACAACCCCAGTCAAGGTCCACCGTGCCGTTGGGTCCATACCTTTAAACTGGTCGAGAAGTATATTTGATAGAGCTTGCATGTGACTGCTCTGGACTTCAATTGTCATAAAGATGTGATCATGGAGATGGTACCCATGCCCCCATTACTGCCAGCAAACGTCCCTGAGATAAACTATCTAACTCAGGATTGCATGGTGGATATACTCCCACCGCATAAGGCTAAAAGGAAGAGTCAGTTACTCGAGAATACTTGATTAATAAGAAGTGTTGTAATGGAACATTGTAATCGAGAAGATCAATAGGTTGTTGCAAGTTGTGGAGGTGGTGATCCTTCATACTCGTACGCTAGCAAAGTGCTCTCGAAATACCAAAGTAAGCAAAGCGGGCTTGGTCAGTAGAGTAGCAGAAAAACCTTGCCCGAAAGAATTCCGGGGAGAGACCAATGCTCCGAGAGAAAATCAACAAAATTCCGCGTTAATAACTCAACTAGAGCAAGTCAGCAAGCATTAAAGGTTGGAAAAAGGAAGATTGTTGTTCAGGCCTGCACTAACATGGTGGCTTGATATGGGTTATAAGGCCTTGGCCATACCCTGCCGGTGTTGTCGACACCGCCAGTGCCACCCACGTCACCGGCGCCGCCGACGCCACCAGTGCCACCCGCGCCGCCGGCGCCGCCGACGTCACCAGCGTCACCCGCGCCACCCATGCCCCCAGCGCCACCGCCTTTGAGCGGTAACACTGGGAACATGAGCAACACGAGCAACACCAGCAACATCGGCAACACTGGCAACACGAGCAACACCGGCAACATCGGCAACACCAGCAACATGAGCAACACCACCGGCAACATCGGCAACATGAGCAACACCGGCAACATGGCAACACCGGCAACACGAGCAACAAAGGCAACGTCAGCAACACCGGCAACAAGAGAACACAGGCAACATGGGCAACACAGGCAAAGTATGGCCAAAGCCTAAGAAATGCAGAAAGAAATAGTATATGTAGAAAGAAGAATAATACGTTGGCAAACATCGGCAATGCCTCGTTCGCATATACTGTGGGGAATGGACGATAGGAATTGCGCATATGCTTGCGTTTGTCGAATCTCCTTCATGGTGCATCCCTCAAAATTGGTCTCATATGAACCATTAAAGCAGTGTCCGGGCAAAAACTCGATTTCTAGGAGATCCACTTACCAGGGGTCCGCAACGCTGAATCCGAAAATCCACATTGGAAGGCGCGTAAACGGCGAGAACATACGTTTCTCGAAGCCGCACAATTTGAAATTCGACGGTCCCCACCAAGGGACGCAGAGTCGCTGCGGGACCCTATATTTTGACTGTGGCGGCATGCGTACTCTGCCGCATAGCAGGAATTCGGACCGCTCGGAGGACCCCTCCTCAAGGCGTAAGGTCCCCCACTTTCCGGTCGTTTCTCTTGCTTTATGTCGAGTGTTATGACGTCGTACTTGCGCGATGTTGTGTCTGGGGGGGGGGGCATTCTCGCATGGCACTGAAATCCCAAAACTCCCATCTTGATACTGCCTTTAACATCCCAAAACCCCCATCTTGATACTGCCTTTAACGTGTTCGAACATTTTTACATGTCAATTTCGAATGAGCGCCTTAAATTTGCTGGAGTTGACGTGTTAGAACGATCGAAAGGCAGCCGTGTGGATGGTTCATATGGGAACGAT